TCCAATGGATGAAAATGTTTCACTGCCAAGCCTGCATTGACCACTACTGACTGTCCAGTCCATTTTTGCAGGACTGTACAGCATGCAAATGGACAGCTTTTAGACCCATCCACTGCGCTCATGGATGGTAGTAGTGAAGGGAAGCAAAAAAGTCTCACTTCACCAGCTGTCCACAGTGCCATGTACTGTACCCTACAGTACGGTACTGCAGTCATCATCGTGTACTGTACAGTACAGTACAGTACTGTACTGCACGGACAGTCTCCTGTGCACGTGACGCACTTTATACTGTAGCCTTGGCCACACTCAGTGTTGCGTTGTTGTCCAGGTCCAACCAGGTGCAACATGGACAACTGATTCAAATGGACTGTTAGATAGAAAAATAAAATAATATTGATATACTCGCCTGCAGCTTACAAGAATTCAACCAATTGATTGGACTTCAAAGGTCGCATCCTTTTTTATTTCTCCATGCCTATGGACCAGTGTTATATTACCGTACAGTAAAGTGTAAACTATGGACTCCGTACCCTGCACTGCACTCTGTCCTGTTTCATTCCTCGAGAAGGTGAATAATCCAAATGCCTTTCTTGTTGCCATAAATGGTTCACAACGCTCTGCACATTCGCAAAGTCTTACTCCTTACTTTTCTTCTGCTTATAAGCTGAAGTTGAACCCCTAGCCGTTGAAATCAGACTTCACTCAAAGGCGTGCACCAATCGTCTATCCATGACTGCACTATCCTTCTTTTTACTAGCCCGTAAAAAGGCCACAACTTGCTGGAGCTGTTCAATTACCATGAATGACTGTATTTTCAATCATTCTCTGTAGCATATTTACTAAATACAACTACTGTACGTAGGCTAAGAAAAGGGATGATAGAAAGGAATTTTGTGTCATAGGTAACTGCGTCTATTTACAATTGAATATGTTCATTTCAAATTTTACCCACCAATAGCAATGCCGCATATTGGTCGACATATGTACGTATCCGATTGATTGGGGAGGGGGCGATTGTCCGATTTGCTGTACCGTCGCTGCCGCCCCAAAATACATGTTGCAATTACAATCTGCATGCAATGCATTCCGTTGATCGAATTTCTGAACTGTGTACTCAGCACTTTGTTCACATTTGTCGCTAGTACACCCA